GGGGGTGCAAAGAGTCTTCTTGGGCACAGGAGGCGGCAAGTGTAGTTCAGTTTTCGGTAGGGGGGGGGGGGGGGAGGGAGGAAGGGAGCCAAATCAAGCCCAAGACCTCATTCAGGGGTCTATTGCGCTTGCGTGTGCCATTATTGGCGTCTTCGCAGACCTCAGACAGCTTGATCGAGCCGTTGAAGTCGTTAGCAAGTCATTGACTGTTGTAGTGTCATCTTCTCTTCGCGGCAGAGCAGGCACAGCTGTGCGGGGCGAAGACAAGAAGCGTGTGGAAGGAGGAGTGATTGCAAGCGAAGAGGAGGAGGGTGTGGAAGGAGGAGTGATTGCAGATCACCCAGATCTGGTGCCAGTTACGCTACCAGGGCCTTTCGGCGTCTACCTGCCTGCTGCTGCTGCTTCACGAGGGGTGCAGGTGGTCTTATGCTCCCTTCCCTTGTCACAGAAACTCGGGTCTGCCGTTCGTGTCATGGCCGTTGGACAGGTGCCGTCTCTTGTGCGTACAGCTGCTACCAGCGTGAAAGAGCTCACGGCGGCAATGCTTAAGAAGATTAGCACTGTGCTGGCATGCTCTTCTTCTGTAGTGATGCCACCAGGAAGAAGCAATGTCGGTAGCAGTGGTGATAGTGGTGGTGGTGGTGGTAAAAAGGCCTCCTTGGGGGGGGAGCGGGGAAGGAGGGAACGCTTTCTGAAGCAACCACAGAAGAAGATGGAAGTGATTGAATCTTTAATCACAACAAATGGCGGTCTTGGAGAGGAGCGCGCCTCCACCACAGGATTACAGTTGCAGATCGGACGGTGCGAATGGATCGCAAGTGGTGTGGGGGAGATGTGCTGTATACTCTTGGACAACGTGCAGGTGAGCACATCAAATGCAGTTGGGCTGGAGTCTGCAGTGCAGGAATGGTACGCAGATGTTTTGGTCCATCCGCTGCAAAGGTGGATTGACTTATGTGTTGTATTGGGAAGGAGGAGGAGGAGGAGGAGGAGGAGGGAAGGAAAAGAGGAGGAGCGGAGAAAAAGAAGAGGAAATGAAGACACCTGTGAGGAGGAAGGTGGTGGGGCTAAAAATAGAATGCAGGAGGTATCTTCAAAACGTGGCGGAGCTAATAATAGAACGAATGGGGATGCGGATAGTTTGGACAAAGATAATCTGCAAGCAATCCTCAAGAAGTGGGACATCAATGACATGCCTTACACGTGGCGGATCCTGCTTGCTCTACGGTCCTTGTTGAGTTGTCTCAGTCTACGTGAACAGTGTGCGTGGGTGATGCCTCCTACAGCAGCAGCAGCAGCTGCAGGCAAAGCTGCTGTGGCAGTTGCAGAACTGAACGGTTTGTCTGCTGCTGAGTACACGGGACATGATACTGACGACGACGATGATGATGATGATGATGATGATGATGATGATCATCATCATCATCATCATCATCATGGTGATGGCAGAGAGGAAGGAGAGTCTGGTGGTTTCCTCCAGTCCATAGGTCGAGGAGCTATGCGAATTGAAGAGTTTTTGGCTGGGTGTCAACACTTATGGGGAACAAGGCAGCTGTTTGTTGAGCCCTCTTTAGTGTACCTTGTGGAGCGCATGGTTGTTCGCTGTCTTGAGGAGGCAAAAAGGGAGGAGAGAAGATTGAGATACCAGCTGGAAATTGGCGACCCTCCAAGTGGAGGGGGGCGGAAGGACAGGGGGAGGGGAAGAGATGATAGACGTAATAATAAACAGGAGGAGGAGGAGGAGGAAGAGGAGGAAGAGGGGGAAGAGAAGGAAAACGGGGTCGTACTTGCTGCTGCATCTGGGAGGGAATTGGCTAGTAAAAATCCTCTTGGGGCAAACCGGATAGACCCTGGAATAATTCTGGGGAAGGTTCGTCGCAAGGTCCATTTGCTAGTGGAACATATTCTGAGAGGACTCGGGGAGGGAGGTGATGAGGTTAAGCGGCGGCGGTTGGCCACTGCCGCTGAAGCGGTAGAGGGTCTGGCAACAGGAGCTGGATTTACCTCCGCAGTAAGTGGGGATCGGTCGGGATCCATCTTGAGCAGGTGGGATGGTCTGGTCGGGACTCTAGATCGCAACACGTTTGCCATTGCGAGGTGGTATCTTCTCTGCCGAACGTTCGAGTGTTGGTGTGCCGATGCAACTGAGATTCGCCTGCAGGGTTTTCTGAATTGCATCTTGGCAAGCGCATTCGATGGCGAAGGACATGGAGGAGGAGGAGGAGGAGGAGGAGAAGGAGGAGGCTTGCAGGGCCAAGCTGGAGAGTGCAAGGGCGATGGGGACTGCTGCGAAGTGCGGGCCTGCAAGGGCCGGGAGAGTCCTGTCTCCCAGGACCAGCAAGATGTTACAAACCTGCGAAAAGCGGACAACAAGCAACAGGGACCTGCAGTATGGGAAAGAGAAGACGTGGCAGTGAGAGGAGAGGAGGACTGGAATCTCCGAGGATTCTGTGTAGCTGATGTAACGAGGGAGCTACTTCTGGACTCTGTGTTCCATGAACAAAAGCGCATTCAACGAGTCTGGTGTCGTGCGCTATTGCTGAAGGCAACAGAGGCCCTGGCCGGGAGTTTGCGACCCTGGAGAACAAGCTCCAACTGCCACGTGGCATTGTTGTCGCAGTTGAATGATTGGGCAGGATCTCAATCTGTCATCACAGTGGCAACACAGCGGCAGGAAACAGGAAACGAGGCGATGATGGGGTTGAGTGTGGCGGCAGCGGCGACGGAGGAGGAAGAGGAGGAGGAGGAGGAGGAGGAGGAGGAGGAGGAGGAGGAGGAGGAAGGGGGACGTCCAAGCAAGTGCAGCAAACAAAAGAAGAAGAAGAAGAGGAGCAAAAATGTGGTGGTTGTGGGTGAAATGGAGGACAGTCTCATCTTGAGTGTGAAGGAGGAGGAGGAGGAGGAGGAGGAGGAAGGGCGGGGATCAAGAAAGTTGGGCAAACGAGAGAAGAAGAAAAACAAGAAGATGGGGGACAACCACATGGTCAGTGATGGTGACTTGGCAGGTGCAGTTGTGGACAAGGAGGAGGAGGAGGAGGAGGGCGATGAGGAGGATAATAAGAACATGGGTAAAGGAAAGAAGGAGAAGCAACAGAGAAAGAAGAAGAGAAAGGAGGAATGGGATGGAGAGGAAGCAGGTCAGATGGTTGAAGAAGACAAGGTTGAGCTGAAGAAGAAGAAAAAAAGAAGAAAAGAGGGATTGGATGACACAAAGGAGGCTGAAGCTCCACTTGCGGCAGATGAAGAAGAGGCTGAGAGGAGTATAACGAGGAATGGCAAGGGTGCAGAGATGGAAGAAGACAACAACACTGGAACAGAAGGGAAGAGGGGGAAGGAGAAGGAGAGAGAGGGGCGTAACAGAGGGAGAGACTCTGAGTTGGCTGGCGACGAAGTGGTGGACGGGAGCCGAAGAGAGAGAAAGAAAGCCAAGATTGCGAGGAAAATGATGAGTGAGGAAGAAAAAAAGGGCATTTTTGAAGAATTGCCTGGGTCAGAAGGAGGTGTGGCAGCAGGGGAAGCAGAGAGAGAATGGGAGGAGGAGGAAAACCACTCTCAGCCTCAGCCAGCGACGCAGCAGCCTATGGGTGGTGGTGGTTGTGGTGGCACTTTGATGGAGTTTGAAGGATGTTCTAGAGGCTTGAGAGAAGTATCGAAGATCCTCAAGTCTCTTGTGAGGGTACCTAGGGGGGTCATACCGAGGAGCGACGCCGTTACGTCTGTGGTCGCTGTTCAGCTGATGGAAAAATGTCTGGTTGAGATTCTTCTTGAGACGAGGAAGACACTTCTTCCACAAACTCCCATCTCCGTCTCAGGCCGTGTTAGACGAGTATTGCAAGTGGGGGAGGATCCCCCTCTGGGTGCTGCAGCTGTCGGGGAGGTGGTCTCCACCATCCTTGCTTGCCGAATGGCGATGGCAGGGTTGACGGCGAAATGCATTCCATGCATTACTTCCCTTGAAGAGGGATCGTCGATGCAGCTGCCTGGAGGATGCCTTCCCACTCTATCTCCATCGTCGTGGAGCTCAGGCATAGATTGGTTGCTACAGCCTGTTGATGTCTGTGCATCTGTGGCTGCAGATCTTCTTGCCCGCTACGCACCGTCAGGGTCACTGGCGGGACCGGTGTCGAGCCAGGTGTCTGACAGGACGTTGCCCCACGCTATGTTGTCAGGTGCATCTTTGCAAATGCGTGCGCACCTGCAGGTGCGTTCGATCGTCAGCTGGACAATGAAGATAACAGGCAATCTTTTTACTGCATGGTTGATTGATAATTTCCTGATTCTTCGAGGTGGTGTTTACCCTGGTGGTGGAAAGAGAAAGCACTGGGTATTAGGGGCGACACTGGATGGGATAGCCGTGAATGCATTGGGATCATTAAGGAGTCGATGCGAAGAGCTCAAGGGGCATTTTGTGCGCAATGATGGTATCGATCTGCAAGTGGCATTTGCAATCAAGAAAAGTTTTGCGACTTCGAAGAAAAGGACGAAATTGCGAACGGGCTTTACGGGTCCAGTACCGAGAAGTGTTGTTCTCCAGGTCATGAAAGAGCAAGCAAAGAACACGGGAGGCAGCGGTTCTCACTATGTGCCGCAGAAGTTTACGGGGGGACCACCACCTGATGGTTGCAGCATGGCGGAGTGGCATAAGGCATGCCTGTCGCTAGCAGTGATCAGCGCTAGCGTTGCAGGTCTGACAGCCACAGTCGAGGAGTCCTGGAAGCTGACTAAGTACAGTACCAAGAAGAAAGGGAGGGATTGCAGGGTGGGATGGACAGCCATACCTGCCAGTATGCGTCAATGGGTTCTGTACGTCGCGCCCCTTCTCGCTCAAATCCTGGAGGAGATAACGGCGGCGGCAACCTTGGGAGAAAGTTCAGGTCCATCTGGGCAGGCCGCGAATGGCGTCTTAAGGAACTCTGAGAGGACGACGGGTGAAAACTTTGTAGGGATGGATGATGTTGTCACTCAGCAGGTGGCAGAGACGACGAATAGAGCAGGGGAATGTGTGTGCGATGATCCCGAGGATCCTGATGGCAGTGGTACTCGAGGGAAGGAAGGAGAGACGAAGACAGGGAAGAGAACGGATTCTTCGGCCTGCGCTGCTGTAGATTGGGAGGAAGTGACCAAGTCAATGGAAGCGACATGGGTGATGCTGACCAAGGTAGAATGTGGGAGGAATTGGGAAAGAGCAGGCAAGCATTTACTGGAGGACAGAGGTGGAACGGAAGCTGTCTGCAATAATGATGTGGTGAGAACGGCGGATGCGGAGCAGGTGAAGCAGGGACAGCACTGCAAACTGGGCAACATAGCCGCTCCAGTTGTGCATCGTGAGGATGGAGTAGAACAGAAGTCGCAAGCAACCGCCGGAGAAGACGCCGAATGTAGTACTACAATTGTAATCAAGGACTCCGTTGGGCACACGTTCTCTGCCTACGGGTGTCTTCTCAAGATGCATGTCTGGTTAACGGGTCCCAATTCCAAAGCAGGGGTCGGCGACAGTGCTCTTCGTGAGGATGGCGAAGTTCCCGAGTCTTTTGCAGCATTGTCCGCCACTTCTATGGGCCGTCAACTTGCACTTGCACTTTGGATGTTGTCGAGAGAGGTGCAGAGGCTGAGTGTCTGCAAGTCAGAAGAGAACGTGGGAACGAGTGGTGATCCTCTTGGTGCCTGGCTTCTTGGGGTTCTGAATTACCTGGAGGCTATAGGCCTTTGCCTCCGGGCATCAGGATCGAAGCCCCCGCATTTGCTCATTGAGCGTCTGCTTCATTTCTATTTGTCTGCAATGGATAATGTGGGACCACCTGCAGCGGCAGGCTCTGGTGGAGGTACCACTGCCATACGTGGAAGTGCAGCAGAAAGGAGACAGCAACAGTTGGACTCCGACAAACTGGTCTGCGCTCAGGTACACAAGTCCCACAATGTGTCCCGCGACGAGTATTCACATTCCTCCTCTGGTAACCAAAGGGGCGCTGGCCTTGAGTTTCTGCGATCGGGCATAAGTCGATGTGTCCGCGCCTTGATAGAAGGTGCTTGGCGATGGCAGTCGATGACGGTGTTGAAGGTTGTATTGGAACACGTGACGGCCGTTAGAGATATAGGTACAGAGTCGTCGACTGATTCTGATGGAAGGAGCATTCTCACTGAGGACCAGTTGATCGATGCAGCAAGTACAATAGAGGGCATGTGGAAAACGACGGTCTGCGCAACCAGTGTACGACGGGTTGCTGTTGGACTCGAGTGCCTCGGTATCTTCGTCGATGTGAGTGCTAGTTTCCCAGGGGCGATGAAACCAGATCTTCTCGTCAGCCGCAGTAAGAGGATTTTGTCTACCCTCTTCGATGTTACTCTTGCTCTGTGTAAACGCGGAGAATCTGCCACCACAGGAGGCGCGAACTTGCACCCACTCTTCTCAGAGGCGGCGTCAGCTGCGCCCGTCGTCCATAGGGTATTGCAGATGCTACGGATCATCTCGTCCCGCCAGAGTTACCCTATGGATGAAAATCACATCGGACTTCTCTTTCAATTGCCGCTCATGGTGTTTGGAGTCGGGGCGCGCTGGGAACCTTGTGGCATGACGACTGCCGCACAAGCTGCGAGGTGGGAGAATCAAGATGCTGCTGCAGCTCAGGCAGACCAGCCTGACATCAGAGCGGCGGAAAACTGGGGTGCCGCTGACATTGCTGCGCTCTTGTATGTGGGGATTTGCAGGCTGGTAAACACCGTCATTCATCATCGGTCAGGAGGGAGCCGCCACTTGGGCGCTTCCATTGGAACTTGCCTGCGCACTTTGCTCCGCGTCCTGGCCAAAGCCCAGTGGCTGGACCCCTGCGGTTGCAGCCGGAGGATCTGCGGGTGGGATGCAAAAGCAGCGATCCGCTGTGCCAGCGCATTGCGACGCGTGTACGAGGAAGTGGCAAACAACAGGGACTGCCTTGGTAGGTTCTGCAAATACTACCTTGCGGATTATGTTGCCGTCGTCTGCGGCGAAGGCGAAAACAATGACGACGAGGGCGAAGGGTGCGGTCTGAGCAGAGAAGCAGAAGGGGCGGTTCGTCCGGGAGCGTTTGCGCTTATGGATGTCTGTTCCGAGAAAGACTTGCATCAGCTTCACTTGTCGTTTGGAGAAGGGGGACTACAAGGCACGTTGAGTATGTTGAAGAGGGAGTACGAGCTGAGCCACAAGTACACAGGAAAGGTGTAGTGGTAGTGCTATTGTAGAGGCCGCATGGTCCGTAGCATGCAGGGGGGCATACAGGCCTGGCGATGTGTGGCATGATCGAAACCCTGTTTTTTATTTTTTTTTATTTTTTTGAAGCTACTGAGCGTCCTTATGTTCTGTAGAAACCATGTTGGTAGAGATTGGCTAGAGATTAAGCTGAGCTACATCAGCTTGCAATTTTTTTCCTCGGATGTCTTTGGCGAAATTGTTGGAAGCATTCCAGAGAACTGTTGCGCTATGTGTTTTTTCCCAGGCGTCGGGCTTGGCGCACTTGGTCGGTTTCGGTGTTACCTGTCAAGTACCATCATCTGGATTCGAACTCGGGGCTGTTTTTCAACAGTTCATGGGTGTACCCAGTACTACCCACTGAGCTATAGGCCTATTGGGTGCACACTTAGTCAATTTCTTTTAGGAGTCGACGTATTGTTTCCTTCTTCGTTTTGGCATTTCGACTTCTTGATGATGGCCTAGCATGCTCTCACACAGAGCAGTCCCAGTGGTGGTGGGGGAGAGCAACCCCTGTGGTGGTGAGTTTGGGAGAGTGAGGGGCGGGGGGGGGGGGGGGGGGGGGGGAGCAATTCCCAGTGGTGCTGGTGGGTCTGGGAGGGTTATGGGGGGGGAACAATGCAAGTGTTGCTGGTGGGTCTGCGAGGGATATGAAGGGGAGGAGTCCCAGTGTTGGTGGTGCGTTTTGCGGGACTGATGGCGAGGGAGAGGAATTGAAAGCAGTAAAGCTATGGCCACTGACATTAAACCCACTAGCACCTCGGTGCCTTTGTTTTGCCCTACACCAACTTCTGCTGTGCGCCAATGAAAATGAACTGGCGCTGGCATGTTGGCAAAACACCAACTTCTGCTGTGCGCCAATGAAAATGAACTGGCGCTGGCATGTTCGTTTTGTCTTTTGTCTGCCACCGCCAGCCATTTCGGTCCGATAGGCCGCACCCTGAAGGACGTGGTGGCCGTGCTGAAACAAAATGGCTGCAAAAGGCACTGGGGCTTTAAGGATCAGGTCCCTCTGGTGCCACATTCATGCTTGAAAACCATGAACCTGGTCAATATCCTGGTTATGTTCGTGCTTCGTTAGCATGAACGTATGTGTTACCAGTGGAGCCTGGCCCTAACTAACTGAAGTGGTTATTAACTTATTCTATAGATGATGCTTTTTTTTTTGTCCGTTGTGTGTACTACTGTGTGGTTTGTTGTGTCAGCAACTACCGTCTCAACCCGAGTACAATAGCTGCTATGTTCATGCTTGAAAATCATGAACCTGGTCGGTACCATGGCCATCCCCTCCATTAGCATGAACATATGTTACCAGTGGAGCCAGGGCATAACTAAGTGGTTAATGTAGGATGCTTTTTGAGTCTCGTTGTGTGTACTGCTGTGTGCTTTGTTGTGTCAGGAATTGTCTTAACCGGAGTACAATGCTCAGTCATCATAGTGCAGCCGCACTTGGGGCAACATTCAGTCTAGATACAGCGGTAAGGACGGTGCTGTGTACTTGGATGAAGACAGTATTGACCTGCACGGTTCTCAGTCTGAGTGCCATCATGGCCTGAGTTTGGACTGGAGACTTCGCTGGGGAGTTCACTGTGCCATCATGGCCTGAATCTGGACATGTTTTAAACCACCGCTACCCCCGACGTCGTAAAGTAGGGGGGACCGGTAGGCCGATATTAGTATTTCACCTTCGGCCTACCGGCAGTACAGGGTGGGCCTCACTTCATTCTTGTTTTTTTTTTTTTTACTCTGCAAAAAAAAAACGAAAACGTAACTGCAGGTGCCACCACATTTCATGCCTGAATCCACTGCCCCGGACACGCATGGATGATTGCCGTGTACATTTCTGTTTTCTGCTGGAAGGTTCAATGCGTGTTTTTTTTCTGTTTTTTTCCCCTAAAAAAAACAAAGAAAATGAAAAGTGCAGCGCCTGAAATCGAAACCGCGCGCCGGATTTTTTTTTTTTTTTTGAGGTCGCCGATCCTCCTCCATTTTCGGCCCTAACTCCCTGGGAAGTTGACTTTCGGCAATGAGGGGGAGTGGTGGTTTAACCAGAGATGCAGAAAAGCAGTTGGATCTCAATTTTCTGCACGTTTCCACAAACAAGTCCAGATTCAGGTGCTCAATCCAATCCTCTCCCCTGAACTGTTGAAATAAAGACCGGGTTATGAACTCCACTGGAAGCCTATGAGTGAAATATTACAATTATTATTAGTATTATTATTTTTTTGGCCAGTATTACAAATCTGAATTACCTGGGGCTGGTCAATTCGACGATGCTATCTCAACGCCATCACCCTTTTTACGAAAAAAAAAAGAAGGAAAAAAATTCAAAAACTTTCAGATAATAATGTTTTTTTAAGTTTTTTTTTTTTTTTTTTTTTTTTTTTTTTTTTTTGAGACTGGCTTGCTTGTCTCTGAGGAATGTCTGTCTTCTACAGCTGTGTCTTGGACTCTGCCTAAGGGGGGCAGCCCCCACTGGTGCTATATTCATGCTAGGAAAGAATGAACCTGAACCATTTTGCGACTGGTTTCATGTTTTCAGCGCATGAACATGGCATTAGTAGGGGGCTTGCCTGTGCGTGCTTGCTGTATTCATGTTATGAAGGCTTGAACCTGACCATTTTTGTGACTAGTTTCATGCTTTCTCAGCACGAACTGAACATTAGCGAGGCCTGCACCTGACTGCCCGCTGGATTCACCTGTCTGCTCGTGCTTTGATCTGAGCCTCGGAGGGCTTATCCGTAAAAATACTCAACTTGGAGGGACAACTGTGTAAGTTTGGGGCAGCAGACAGGTATGTAAACCCCTTGTGGGGGGGGCATGTTTGTTAAAAAAATGATTTGTATTTTTTTTTTGTGGCTTGTGCGGATCTGGATGTTTACCTCAGGGCTGGGACTCAATTTGAGCTCCGCCAGGCGGGGAGTTGCATGCATCTGTGCGGAGACTCAAGGAGGCAAAAGATGACTTCTGTGCGGAGACTCAAGGAGGCAAAAGATGACTCCGTTCACATGCCACGTGTCCATTGGGCAATTGAGTTAAGTGGGGTCCGGAAATCGCGCCGGGAACCATACTTGGGACACGATAAGAGAGGATACAGTATAGTGAAAGAACCACAATGCAAAGGCTACTTGATATGCACGGGTACGGAAAAAAAAAAAGCATGGATTTTCTTTCACTACCTACCTACCACTACTCCTAAGGCTATACGGGGGACCCCTGCAAGCATAGCTTTCTACTCTCTTCGGTGAAGGGAGGTCACCTCTCTCCACCGACCGAGAGAGGTGACCTCCCTTCACCTATGTTTGCAGGGGTCCCATGTATACCCTTAAGAGTAGTGGCTGGTGGGTAGTGAAAGAAAGCTATGTTCCCTGGCATGCAGGAATGCCAGTTAAAAAATATGTGAGGTGACAGAAAAATGTGGTTGTCTCCGGATGAGGAGAAGGCAGCCTTTAAAATAAATTAATCAATAAATAAACAAGGCATGGACATGAAGATTTTGCGATCATTCTGATGAGCAACCAAGGTCATGCGTACATGTGACCATGTGCCTCTCATAATTGCTCATCAAATGCACAAAAGACTATAATTATGCCTGTGTATCTCTCTGTGTTCTTGTGGAGGATTCCTTCTCGTACTGCACATTTGGTGATGGGTGCGGTGAGCCCCCATGGCATTTCGACACTCGCAAGCAGACAAAAAATATCCGTGTGTATCTCTCCGTGTTCTTCTGGAAGATTCATTCCCATTTTGCATATTTGGTGAGTGGTGCGGCGAGGCCCCATGGCATTCCAACACTCGCAGGCAAGGCCATATGCGAGAAGACAATCGCTCACATCCACAGACTCGGACAACAAAGACAAAGCAGTGATGGAGAAAAAAAAGACAATAAAAAGACAAGTCCCCAGCAATCTTTAGATTCTTTACCAACACACCTTTTTTTTTTTTTTTTTTTTTTTTTTTTTTTTTTTTNTTTTTTTTTTCCCTTTACAAACACACCTCCTTGCACCCAGGGCGTACTTCATGACCCGTCATCGTACGCAGAGTTGGCCTCCCTGCCAATCTACGGCTGCATGCGTACGTGGAGTTCTTTGGGCATGACAAGCCTGTTCAGCACCGTGGCATATCCAGCTATTATCCGCGCAGCGCACGACTCCACGGTACATTGCCAGCCGGGATCAACGAGAGGGAGAGGAGCGAGTCGTGGAGACTTATAATGTTGTCCCCCCCGTCTCAACCTATGGCGTGCAGCTCACCCCACACTCTTACTCCAAGTTCTTTGGGCATGACACCGTGGCATACCCGGCTATTATCCGCACAGCGCACCCAAACCTGTTCAGCACCGTGGCATATCCGGCTATTATCCGCACAGCGCGCCCAAACCTGTTCAGCACCGTGGCATATCCGGCTATTATCCACACAGCGCACGACTCCACGGCACATTGCCAGCCGGGAGCGACGAGAGGGAGTGGAGCGAGTCGTGGAGACTTATAATGTTGAAAAGTGCCCACAACGGGTTGATCGGCGGAGCTATACCGCTTGGTCCAGTCGACTCGTATGCAACTGATCACCGGTGTCATACCAAATACCCTCACAAGGAAGATGGAGTCGGAAGAAGAAGGGTAGGGGAAAGAAGTTAGGCAATTCGAGTAGGCAGGCAGCCGAATGCGAGCATGTATATGAGAAAGCATTTTTTGCAAAATAATAAAAATAAAAGAAAAGAAAAACAAAAGAAGCCAACTACTTGTGATGGGTCCGAAACCCATCACAAGTATGGCCCCGGGATGGGTTTTGGACCCTTTGGTACCAAGGGTACATGTTTTAGTGAGGTACGGGCCAGGGACTGTCACAGCGGCTCTTTCGATTTCCTGCCCGCCTGCAGACGATCTCATGCATATACAGTCGATGGGAATATTTGTTTCAGGTGAAAATTCGAGCATGCGAGATGGTGGTGGCTAATCTGGAATGATCAGCCATTACATCCCCAAGACGATTATGAAGACAACTTGAAGGAAAGGAATTGCACGGCTGAATCTTTCACAATAATAATCGGGGCATACTCGCAGTACGACTTTTTGGGTGCATTTTGGATGCAATTGCGGTCTGATACTTCGAGATCTGGCGACAATCGTGGTCAGTGTGAGTATGCGCTGTGCCGCATCACTCCCGAATCCGGAAAAAAAAACGGTTGTATTCTTGAGATTGAGAAGTAGGGAAAAATCCCGTTCGAGAGCGTGCTTCGCCACAGTGCGAAACGGGCACTCCCAATATCCGCGCTTGGCAGTGGGCGAATAGGATGATGAATCCCTGTTGTCCTACATATGAATGTGGATCGGTCTTTTCGGGAGCGTTCGAGCCTGTTCGAGGCCACCCTCCGAG